GCATGTAAAAATGCAAGTAGAAAAATAGGAATCACCTTTGCTGCGAAGGTTCCAGCGTTCCGTGCACCTTCGGCGTTTAGTCATGTCGACCACATGACCACGGAGACGTCTTCGGACAGCGCTGGCTCTTTGGCTCTGAAATGGAGATGAGCACTGCCCCCTAGAGTCGGGAACGACTAGCACATATGTTCGAAGGGAACCTTTTACCTTTAAGCAAATTTGATTCTTTGCAGCAGTTGCAAACATAATGATTACCATGTCCTCCCTCCCATATTGCATGTCATAGTTCCTTTCTTCCCCTAGACAAATCATTCTAATCAATACATCCAGAAATCATCAGTTCATTTTTATTCATATGCAGCAAAAAGTCCATAAGCGGTTTCCAGTTCTTTTAAACAACAGTAATTGTAGTTTTCTCCTTAAACAAGTTCTTGAGGACCCAGATTGTTGGGGGCAATATGCTGACTCTCTGTAAACCGCTTAGAGAGGCCTGAAAGGCCTATGAAGCGGTATATAAGTCTACTGCTATTGCTATATTGTCTAGATTCAACTTTAGACTGTCAGAATTAACAATTAAAACAAGTTAATTTAGCCATTTCTGCTATCTTCACAACCCATTCCTCCAGGATTGCTGTTTCTATAGTCTTCCATAAAATAGCCTTAATACTATATTTCCCTTTCCTTTTTAGCATTACTAATATTTCAACTGATTACCAGCACCAATTACTCTTCCAGCTGAATGCCTTTGTTTTCTTTTACAGATAAGCGCCTGGCAAATGGAGAAAAAAAGAAGACAGTTGTAAGTATGAACCCCCCCCCCCCCAATACTGCATTAATGAAACAGTAATGAAAACAATCACTATGCTTTTCTGAATGCAGACTTGCAAATCTTTTTGTTGGATACCATAAAGGAGAATAACAACAATATATATGTAGTATGTTTTAAAAAGAATTGGGGCATACAGTCTGCAGATGGAAAGAACAGGTGAAGTCCTTTATTGAAATCCTAATTGCGGTGACTGGAAACCGATAGTTCATGCTCGCTCGCTCGATTGATAGTATGATTGCATGGATTTTGTGCTACCCTTTTTATTTGATATTTGATGTATCAGTTTTTTGAATTTATCCAGACTGGGAAACCTGACTCCACAAAAAGGGTAGGACAAAGCTTTATTGAAATAATATTAGGCCAAGGGTGTCAAACTCAATTTCATTGAGGGCCGTATCAGAGTTGAGTTTGACCTGGGGGGGGGACGACGACTGGGGTGTGTGTGGCCAGGGTGGGTGTGGTCAGCTCAACGTCACTCGTGTCGGGGGCGCCTGTGTTGGCCTGAGCGCTCTACCAATGAAAACGGGCTCCTGAGCTCTGTTTTTGGCTGCCACGGCCACTTGCAACTCTCTGCCAATGAAAACAGAGCCAAGGAGGCCCTCCCACACGGCCCTCCCACACTCCGTTTTCACTGGCAGAAGCACTGTGGGCCAATCATTCACTATTTCCAGGGTGACCCCCATGTGCCAGATCTAAGTACAGTACTGTGCGGGCTGGATCTGGTCCTGGACCTTGAATTTGTATAGCAACAGAATCGGATTGTGAATTGGTTGTGAATCAATAGGTTGTAAGTAGAAACTTCTGTCAACCTAGCAGTTTGAAAGCATGTAAAAATGCAGGTAGAACAATAGGAACCACCTTTGGTGGGAAGGTAACAGCATTCCCTGCGGCGTCAGCGTTTACTCATGTTGGCCACATGACCATGGAGACGTCTTGGGAGAGCGCTGGCTCTTTGGCTTTGTGACAGAGATGAGCACCGCCCCCTAGAGTCGGGAATGACTAGCACATATGTGCGAGGAGAACCTTTACCTTTACTAGAAAGTTAGGTTGTATTTTACTTCTCCTCCTTGTACTTCAGAGTGTGGGGAAGGAACTAGCCTGAATGTCTACCTAATACTTTCTCCTTTCCCAAGGCTTAAGGAATGTGTCTGCTCTTGTTTCTGTAAGAACTTTTGAGTAGTTCCTTCAAGACCATTCCATGGCTCTCTACAGCATGGTAGAAAACTATATTCTTTCAGCAAAGGGTTTAAGGGTGTATATATAACGACACCTATAAGATGGCTTAAACTGAGTAACACGATTATGTGGTGATTTACAATGTGGATTTGGGGAGGGTTTTTCAGTTATGCAGAGAGAGAAAACAAAGCCCTCTAGATTTTTCAAATTGAAAGAGTTCTAACTTTCTGCCGAATTTGAGCATCACACCATTAAGCTTGTTCACCTGCTGTCATTTCATCACGCTTGAGCCTTAATCAGGATTTCGTTCTTTCTTTCTGTTTTCATCAGATCTGCATCGAGGGGAACATTGCTAGCGGGAAAACAACCTGCCTGGATTATTTCGCTAAAAACACTGGCATTGAGGTGAAGCAGCATTGCAGCTCCTTGAGTTTCTTCATATTCTAAGTGTGTTTCATGTGATTGAAAACAAATAGGATCAGGATTACGGTTCACATGTTTAGTGACATTCTTGCCCTATGAAATATTTTATATTACATATATTTTATATAGAGAGAGTTCCAGAAATGTTGCTGTCCCCCCCCCCTCCCTGAAACTACTTTACATGACTCACTTTCAATGCTTCAGGACAAAAATGTCACAAAATAATTCATTTGTAAAACTCAATTCCACAAATTCCATAGCATCCAAAAAGTCTTGGTGAAAACAGGCTGCAGCTTTATAAACTATAATAAAAGGGGTGGGCTTTTATAATTTGAATGGCATTTTGCTTTGTAATACATACCTGTCTTTGGAAAAAGTGGACTCAGTTGCTAACTGGTATCTGGTAGACTGAACCTGGTCTAAACCCATCTCTGCTGCACTGCTTCTGAAACTTGATAAATATCAGCTTGGATCACTGTAGAAAGTCCTTGTGTTAAATTTCTACAGGATAACGGTGGGAGGATTGAAATGGCTGACTGGATGTTCAGAAAGCGAAGTTAAAGAAGGTGTAGCAAAAATAAAAAAATGTTTTTATTAAATAAATAAATTAAGACAAAACTCCTTTCAACACTGCAAAATTAGAAACACAAAGCAGAGACAAAAACATAGCTAATGAAACAATGAAAAGATCACAAATCAGGGGTTCTCAACCTTGTCTTCACCACACAACCCTTTTAAATACCTTTTGTGGCCACGGAGCATGGCCACGGACCCTTAAGACTTAAAACAAGATTTAAATGACATTTCTTCAAGCCCTATGATGACATCCCCCCCTCCCCAGGTGTGCAGACCACTGGTTGAAAACCACTAATATACATATTTTTTGGCTAGTGGTTTCATGTAGTAGTGAAAGAACATAAGAGAATCGTAAGAGAATCTTGGTCTTTGGCAAAGCAGCCAGTCATATAGAAGCTTACATAATTTGCATGCTTTCTGTCTAAGGGTACTAGATGCTAATCTTCTACATTTCTTGATTGTTTCTCTAGTATAGGTTCAGAGAAGTAAACTGAAATTTTCTGTATTGCACTGATTATTTTTTTAAACTTTCAACCCAGGTGTTGACAGAACCAGTATCTAAATGGAGGAATGTCCGTGGACTCAATCCTCTGGTAAGTTGCTAGAATGAAGCTCCTGGACTTATTTTCCACATTAATTGTTTTAACTGCTTGAAAGCCCTTGAATTATAGTGAGAAAATAAAACTGAACTACCCTTGTCTAACACCAAAAAATATACTGATTCTCTAAATTCAAAAGTTATGATTTAGATTTTTTTCCCAATTGGGTTGCTGGTATGATTCACTATGATAAGATATTCCAAGCATATGCTGTACTTCCTCTTTGTAATTTGGTAATGAATTTCAAGCCTTTTTAAAAACAAAATAGTAGGTCTCAATTTTAAGTGCTGGTCCTTTTGAAACCAAAAATACATTTACCGTATTTTCACCCATATAACCCGCGGGTTATATGCGGTTTTTACATGCACAGCGCCCCCCTGCGGGTTATATGCGTGGGCGGGGTATACGGAAGATATTTTACACGATCGGAGGCTTACCGGTACACAGGCTTCTTTCTCCGTTTCTTCCCCCACCCCGATCTCAGCTGTTTCCTTCTCCTCCGTTCCTTTCCTCTTCCCCAGCTTGCGCAGGCTTGTTTCTCCGTTTCTTCCCCCACCCCGATCTCAGCTGTTTCCTTCTCCTCCGTTCCTTTCCTCTTCCCCAGCTTGCGCAGGCTTGTTTCTCCGTTTCTTCCCCCCCCCCATCTCAGCTGTTTCCCTTCTCTCTTACTCGTCGCGGGTTATATGCGTGGGCGGGTTATATGCGTGGGCGGGTTATATGGGTGAAAATACGGTAGGCCCAAAGGAAGATATGAGTCACAATTTTTTGTTGGTGGCCAGTGTCCCATTGAGAACTGATTATGCTTAGTAAATCCTTCCCATTGGGGAGAAGAAATTAAATAAATATTGGAGGATTTGGAACTATATGTGCTCATGTACCTAATATTGCAACAACTCTTCTCTTCTCTCCCCTTCCCCTTCCCCCTTCTCTTCCCTTCCCTTCCTTCTCCTCCCCTTCACTCCACTCCTCTTCCACTCCACTCCCTTGAATATAGTCTTATTGTTTTCTCCCCAATGGCAGGGCTTAATGTATCAAGATGCAACCCGGTGGGGGATGACATTACAGACTTACGTGCAGTTGACTATGTTGGACCAACATACAAAACCAATGGTATGTTTTAAAAGGTAGTAACTAGAATCCCAATGTAGGTAGTCCTCAACTTACGACCCCAACTGACCCCCAACATTTCTGCAGCTAACTTCTACATAGTTATGTTAAGTTCATTTTGCCCCCACTTTACAACCTTTCTTGCCACACTTGATAAGTGAACCCTTGCAGTTGTGATGCGAGTCTGACTTTCCCATTGACTTTGCTTGTCAGAAGGTTGCAAAAGGCGATCACACAACCCTGGGACGTGGCAAATACATGCCAGTTGCCGGGTGGCCAAATTGTGACCACGAGAATGCTGCAATAGTTGTGAAAACTGGTCAAAGACTTTCATCACTGAGGTTGTAACTTCAGTAAATGAATGGTTGTAAGTTGAAGACTACCTGTATTAAGAGCCAGTGTGACCCTCATAGTCAAGATTCTGGAAAGATAATAGGGAGACCCTGGTTCAAATCCCGTCTCTGCCATGGATTCTAAATGAGTAATTTTGGATCTGTCTCCTTCACTTCAGCCTGCTACCTTGGCTAATCAATGTGGGGAAAATAGGAAGAGAGAGAATTACAGTTTGAGTTCTTGAATGAAAGGATTGAAACCTAACGAGATGGCAGGTTTTGTAAAGGCCTTGCCGAAGTTAAATAAAGTTCAAGGGAATAAATAAAGAGAAAAAAATCTCATTTCCAATAGGAATGTGTAGTCCAGTGGATGCTGCAGAACAGCTAATCTCCCCCTCCCCTTGAATAGTTAACAATCTGTGTGTCTGTCTGTCCACTCGTCTATCCATCCTAAATGGCTTTTGGCATTTAATTTGCAGATTTCTCCCATAAGAATGATGGAGAGGTCAATTCACAGCGCAAAGTACATTTTTGTGGAGAACTTATATCGCAGGTACGGTTCAGAGCGTGCTTTTTAAGAGAGTGGCTTCATATATTATTCATTCTGAAAAAAGCTCAGGAACACGGCCAAATCACCGTCAAATTGGCAGTTGCACATTGACTGAGTAAGGCAGGCTGGCGGCTGCTACTCGTCTTGCAGTATCTTTTCGATTTGTCTTGCCATTATTTTTTTGCACTGTGAATAAACATCCAGCCAAACTAGATTTTTTCCTTCTGAAATACGGGAGGGAAAAGAGAATCCACAAGGTGGCATCTCTGCTACAGAGTCTCTTGAACAAAGGTGCAGATATGATGGTACGATACCTTTTGGGTCTCTTTTATCCCAATTGCTGAAGTAATACGATGTAGCGACCACTGCATCTGTCTTGATTGCTATTTGTGTATGACTTTGAAGAAGTTACATTACTGCCTTTTTTGCATGTGCATATTGGATATAGTTTTGCTAATTGTTGGATTGGGTGGAAGGTATAGTATAGTATAGGATAGAATAGGATAGGATAGGACAGGACAGGACAGGACAGGACAGGACAGAACAGAACAGAACAGAACAGAACAGAATTCTTTATTGGCCAAGTGTGATTGGCCACACAAGGAATTTTTCTTTGGTGTATATGCTCTCATTGTACATGAAGAAAAATAAAGTAGAATACAATCATCAAGAATCATAAGATACAACACTTAGTAATAGTCATGGGTTACTAATAAGGAATCAAATTATACTAGGAAACAAAACAATATAATATGTAAAGATGCAAGCAACATGGTTATAATCTTAAGTGGGAAGAGATAGGTACTAGGAAGGAAGAGAAGAATAATGGTAGTACAGTCTCAATAGATAATATGATAGTGTTTTGTTTCCTA